CTTTCATTCCCTGGGTGTCGCTGAGAAGATGGCTGTGGCCCTCAGATGTTTCTAACACTACTTTTTCCCCCTCTTCAGATCTTTCTGCTGCTTTGCACTCCTCCTGGGCTTCCAAAGCCTGCATGGTTACTGTTAAGGAAAAACTCACAGCCAGTACATCAAAGAGGGAGACCAAAAGCTTTTGATTTGATTTATCTGACACTAAGCCTTTAGTGTGATGCATCAATTGATATTTCATTTTTATTACAGTACAATGGGGTACACAGGCTTAACAGCAAGAGGCGTCCTTTTGATCTCTCATCGCACGTGAAAACAGGTGTCATAGTCCAGAGATTATGGAGGTCAGAGATTATTTGAAGGAGGATTAAGTAGAGTTACCATTTTTCTTAGCAACCATATCCAAAAGCAAGAGATTCTTTTCAAAAAGCAGGCCTTATTTCAGTCTGTAGATAAGTCATTTATTTCTCATATACCAATATTCCCTGCTAAAACTACGCAAGAAGACTAGAAGCTTTCAAAGTGTTTTGTATTAAAAAATGCAGAAACAAATCAAACTCTGTACTTCTAATACAATTAATAAAAAAACTTTTTTTGAGTCTCCTAAAATCTGGGGAGAGTTTTGTTTTTCCTGTTTGTTGATCTTTACAGAATCTGGTTCTTGAGTTCCTCAAGTTCCTGGGACCATCTAGAAAATAATGGCACGACTGTATTAATATTCATCACTGCACTGATTTATGTACATGTATAATTGCTTAATCCAAATCCGATTGACCTCTGAAAAGCGAACAGAAGTCTCCAGTGCAGTAAGTACTGGTTCGGTGTCTCAGTAAATACAGCCGAAATACTGCTCTGACTCATTCCAAGAGTCTCTCTCATCCCATTAGAAGCTCTAAACCAACCGAAAGGAATTTGATAACTCACTATGGGTATGTGCTAGAAAATGCTGACGGACTATATACCTGTTGTGTTTCTTCAGCAGCCCATCCTGCTGAGGAAGCACATCCACCATGGATTGCTCAGCTGTTATAGAAATACATGAGCTTTCCAGGGTGTTTATATTCCTCAGCATAATGCGGCTGAAATCGATGGCAATAGTGTTAAATTCAATAGACCCATTTCTCCTAGTTAGTGTAATTGTAACTCTCTTGTTCACACCCAGATGTTTAAACAGCCCCCAAACATGTAATTACTGGGAAATAAGGAACTGAGGATTTCTAGGATCACAGAACCAGCACTACAGTAGCCCTGCATCCCAACAATTATCGCAAATTTATTCCGAGAGTGGGTATAAGTTTGAAGCCTTTTAAATGTAGTTAACATTGATTTATTCAGCCCATCAACTGACACAATTTTTGTACATCTCATAGCTCTTATCTTCAGTTACTGCCTCCACAAAAAGCACGACCCTTAGGTCCTATCTTGCCGCTGAAGTAGGAGGAAGTCTTATTAGCAAAGTGTTTGACTAACGTTTTGTTTTGTAGACAGATGCTGAACTGAAGTGTTTAGTTCAGGTCTCCGCTCTAGAAGGAGGAACGATGCTTCAGTCATATTTAAGAAGAGATCACTGCTGCCTTTCTGAGCCGCCTGCCAGCTTCTGTCCTGGTCCACGGGCACCACGCTGCAGACCCAAACATCTGCTGTGTCCCCCTCACCACAGCAAGTGCCAGACGCTGCATGGCCATACTGCCCCAAGATACCACCAGGCTGCCAACCCCGTGTTTAGAGCTCCTTGTGAGGAACAGGGTATGTCCAACGCACCTAGCTGTGCTTAAAAATTTGGGAATCTAAACTTTGGGAAGCTGGCCCCCGTTGTTTCGTCCAGATCTCTAACTGAAGCCATGCAAGACACAGCTGTCTCCTGTGTGCATTGTAAGCAAATAATCTGAACGCTCTTTCTGCTGCAGCTTTGCCTTTCATTCAGTTTTATTCTTCTTTTCTGGACTTTACAGCTTTAATGTTTTATTTAAAAAGCCCAGAACCCAAGCAGACTAATCTTTTATTCACCATGGCTTTTTTCTCACCTTCTCTAGCAGGATGGAGAGACACAATTTCGCTTTTTTAATTGTGCTTTCTCAGGAAGGAAAACTGTCAGAGGTACCAGATATCTTGTTTCAGGAAGCATTAACTGTCTGTCAAAGCATGTAGCCTTTTTCTTCCATATTCTTGGCGTGTCTAGACTGACCTCTCTCTGAATCTAAAGGGATTCTTAAGAAAATCAAACACACCTAGAAACACCTGCCACCTCCTGTTCCCAGCGTGACTCCCATCTCCTGGCCTGTTAAATGGTTTCAGTGCTTTGAGGCTCCTGCCAAGTGTGAGGAAGCACATTTCATTTTTTTTTGTTGTTGTTGTGCTGGTGGCTGGGCCAGTGCTGTGTAACAACTCACAGGAAGAGATGTCCCTTGTGCTCTCCAGCAGTGCCTTGGTGAGAGCTCCTGCATGGTTCCAGTTTATCGGGGAAGAGGAGGGCTGGGAGCTGGGCTGCCCTCACTGACAGGAGTATAAGGAAGATTTGGTGCATTTTTGCCACTAAAAGCATAAACAAAATTGCCTTATATTTATAAAGCATTTCCAGTACCACAGGTGAGAAGTCCCAAGCAAAAACCAGGTGTCAAACCTGATAGCTCACCTGCCAGGCTGAGCATGAAAGGACCAGTGAAGAAGCTGCACCCTGCCTTGGGCAGTTGGAGATGTTCCTCTCGTAGGGACCTGCCTTGCCTCTCCACTGGCCCTGCAAGAGGGGAATTGGATGGGGATTTTTCCAGGTTTCAGCTGTCTTCTTTAAAGTGTGATCCCACAGGGAATACCAAGAGATACTACTCCAGAGAAAAATACATCCAGGACTTCTTCCTTCTGGTTTTCAGGGTAGGGATCAAAATGTTAAAAAAGGATCATACTAACAGGGAGAGCAGGAAGCTGTGCTTTGATATGGAAACAAGAAAGAAAGAAACAACACAGAGAATGTTTTTTCCCCAAAGTAACCACATTTTTGATGTGTTATCTTTTGTCATACCTAACATTCGGAGGTGCTAGCCCATGATCTGGATTGCTTAGGCACTGGTACAATACAAATATACTAAAATTTACTTGATAATTAAACAGTTGGTCATCAAAGGGGCAATGCTAGGATTTCAATGTCCAGAACATTTCCTAGAATGGGACAGAACATGAATTTCAAAAATCACATAGTAATTTAAAGGGACAATTTCCACTATGGTTGGTGGGACTGGCATTCCTAAGTCAGGAACTCCAGACACTCATTTTGCTGTGTTCAGACCCCACCACATCACCCGTTCATCATCTGTCACGGGGTCTGGAGGAATAGCCACGTCAGGATCTGGCAGACAGACCAAGAGGGTGAAGCAAGAGCTGCAGGACTTAAGATGAGCAGAGCAGTGGCTGCTGGTAAACAAATGGTGACGTTTGAGTACCTCTCATCTTCCAAAGGTGATTAGAAGTTTTCTTTGAAGGTCAGCAGTGTAACCAGTGGAATAGTCTGCTCAGAACTACCCAGACTTGTGCACCACACAGGGCTTCTGCGCGTGTGGTCACCACAAGCAGATGTTGGACCGTGCATCTGAACATGGGCAGCTCTCTTAAGGTGGTTTAGAGATATAGAAGAAATTGGCTGATTTACAGCAGACTTTGTCCAATCCCCCAAAAAAACTTAGCCCTGTTTATTTCTCAGTAGGGTTCAATGAGAAGCCAAACCTCGTTGGTAACCTAGAAGAGGAAAAAAAAAAGAAGAGTGGGAGGTGCTGATGTTTCTTCTGTACTTCTGTGAAGCCGGAGTGCTGAATTCGTGCCTCCTATAACCAGATGCGTGTACGTATCCAAGTGAGGACTTAACATGATTTAGGGTTGTGTGTAAAGGGTGAGGTGATGTCAGGCAAACAAATTTCTGCAGCGTCCAGTGGGAGGTCAGTTTGAGTCTCAGCACCTGTGAGACGATTCTCCATCCTCTGTACTAGCAGGAGAAATAAATACCAGAGCCAGACCTTTGCCAGCAGTGTCACGCTATCTTGGGAAACACTTTCTACACTCTTTGGAGGTTGCCTCCTCCAGCTGACAACCCATAATTTTATATATGAGAGGTGAAGAGATGCACAGTCCTTAATGAGGGTGATGTTTCTTAACGATTTCAACAACTGCTCTGAAGGCACAGACATTATGGCTGTCTCTGAATCAACTAAGCAAGAGAACTGTTGCTTTGAATAATGTGTTGTTGTTGCGTTGTTAACCCAGGAAAATATTCTCAGGTAAGAAGAAGCATCTTTTTTTTTTTTTTTTTTTTTTTAAGGAAAAAAGCAGAATCAGTAAAAGGTGTTTCAGAAACTGGTTGAGAATATTCTTCTAGCCCTGCCTAAATAGTGGGCAACTTAAAAATAAGTTTCAGGAGATCAAATTAATTTCTGGTGTAACGTAAAGGGAATCCAGGTGCATAAATTGGAAAAAAAAGAAAAAAAGAAAAAAAGAGAAGAAAACAAGAAGAAAAGCATGATGAGAAAAGAACAGTTCTGGCACAACATCTCACCAAGGGATATGAGTGGTGGCTGTGGGCTGAATGGTGTTTGAAAGTACCATCAAAGGTAGATTAGTCAGGAGTATTGTGAGAGGAAATGGATAACTAACACGGCAAGAGCAGTTACTCCAGGGGCTTTCTCCTGCTTACATGTGCACAGCTGGGGCCTCTGAGGATGGGGGCTGTTTTGGAAGAGATGAAAGGTCACGTCAAGTTGATTTAGTGCCTACAAGTGCTATTGGTATGTAGCTTAGTCCCTAATCTGTGAGGTAGTGAATGAGAAGCTTGCACTATTTGCTCAACCGAAAAATGCGGGTTCCCCACCACAACCACCAATTAAGAGCATTTCTAAAAATAGAAATCTGTCCTGATGTATGTGTTTAAGAGAAACCAATCTTCACAATGAGATCCAGGCTTCTATTTGATTATAATACATACTCAGAATATCCTGAAATTTAAATCAGTTCTTAATCCCTGGTGAAATATACTTTTTTATGCATTTAATTTCCATTTTGTGGGACAAAGCTGAGTTCTTGAGTGTGTTACACACTACTGGGACAAGAAATGCAGTACAAAGAGCACCAGATACAGCAGTTCCCTGCAGTGTCATAAAGTTCTGTACAAAACGGTACAAATACTAGAGGTATTAAAGTTGGAAAATCAAATGCAAAGTTCTTTTTTTTTTTTCAAGTTTGCAATGTGAAGTAGCTCATGCTATATATAATATGTGAGGAAAAAACAGTCTGCTTTCAGAACAGATAAAGTAGTCTGCAGGAAAAGAGAGAATTAGCAACTGATGAAAGTTAGTGAATAATAAACCAGGCAATAATACAAAATCTGAACATACATAAAATGCTTAATCACAATCTATATATAGATTTTGCATCTCAGGAAAATAATGTAACATATTGCTTCTCAAGGACATCTCTGACTCTCATAATAGCCTAGATTTGTACTAGAAATCAAGATTCTCTAACAGTTTATTCCTGGCAATAAAGTAAGTTGCCTTGTTTGAAATATTACCCTAATCCTCATTTAAGCGATTCAAAGCTCTCAGCCGAAAGAGAGCAGGAGCAGCATTTTCACCGGTGCTGGGAAGGTGACCATCACAAGGCAGAAGGAGCACCTGACAAGTGCAGTGCTCTTCATTGAACATTCATTCATCCACAGTAAGCAGATTTAGGACCACAACAATTTTCAACTTTCAAATACTGGAGAAAATGGCCAATTAGTCCACTCGTCCTTCATTTCTCACCTGCTGTTTTCTAGAAGTGAAGACGCCCTGCGTTTACAAAACAGTGATTGAAGAAGTCTGGGAAAAGTATTGACTACTCAAAAAGTGCACCACCTCTTCTCCTCATTGAGGCTCTGGAGAGATTGAATTTTTCCTTCAAAGCATAAACATTTTTCTCTAATTTTAACTCATTGAGAGATGAGGATTCGCAGCGGTTACTGGACTGCGCCCTAGAATAGAGGTACTTCATAAAATGGTAGGAAGGGTGTGCCTCATTCTTCCTTACCTAGATATTTTGGGGGAGCTGAGGCAATACCCTTACTGAAATCAGAGCAACCCTCCTCAGTGAAAAATTCTGTTAGTCATAAGCAAATATTAAAACTGCTGTACAAAGCAATACAATAGTGTACAATGCTGGCTCAAACAGATTAAATCACAGCAGAATTAATGGTCAGGGGAACATGACTTGCAAAAGGAAAACTAAAAGGAAGCTTGGCAGGTGTAATCCTGTGAAAATAAGCATGTAAAGGCGTATGGTTGCTGTCTGTAAATGCACCATGCATGCAAACACTAAGAGGAAAACGAAATATTTAAGCTGAAGAACAGTGGTGGCATCAGGAAAAAACTGATATAAAGCAACAATTAATAAAACTATGCTGAAAGTCACACAAGCCTTGGAGAGCAGTGCAGCTCTGGAATGCTCTTCCGGAGGAGGGGGAGCAAAAATCTGACTGCTTTTAACATGGAGTTAGTTAAGTTTATGAAGGGAATTCCTGTGTACTGTGTAAAGTCATTGTCATGATAATAAGGACATATTAAATTTCAGTACTTTATTTATTTAGTGTCTTTGATCCAAAGCACTTATATAAAAAAGCAATAATGAAAATTCCTTTCAACCAGTACAATAAAAGTCATAATTCCTTGGGGTATTTCATTTTCTTTAGTAGAATGCAATTTGGACACATTCCATTCAATATTTGCAGAAATGACAGAGCATCAGCCCTACGAATAATAATAAATCTAGAACGTAAGATAAGCTATAGGTTATTGAAATGACGTGCTGCGAAGTTTGGATCCAGGCTTTGCAATGCTAAAGTAGCAACAGCTGAGGGAATTTGTGACTCTTTGGCAAGTTTACAGGTCTCTTCAAATAACTGCCCTGAAGGTCACTGGTTTTCAACTCTGTGCATCTACTGCTTGTGAAACCGAGATAAAACTGCTGCTGGGAGCTGGGTTCTCTGAAGGCCCAAAGCCAACAGAGCTCGTGAGCACCTGCAGTGTCCTTGACATCAGTGGGGTGGTTTGCCACCCTTGCAGTACAGAACCCAGCAGTAGCCCATGATGTGCTGCTCAAGCCCATCTCTTCCTTTGCCTTATTTCTCTCACGGTGTTTCAATCCAACAGGGAACCTGGTGCTGTGCCACGTTTGGGGTGGGTGTTTGTAGGTTTGTGATAGTTGACACGCATGCAATATGAATCAGGGACAAGACTACTGAGTTTATGCCTGTGACCCAGCAGAGAACTTGAACCAACCCTCCAGAAGTGAAAACCTTAGCTAAATGTTTCCAGTTTGGACACCTGATTTGGGTTATCTAGGTCTACCTTCAGGGCCATATATATTTGGCTTTTTGACTTTCAGGGACAGCAAGTCCCTTGCCTTGCCTATTGACTTTATAACTTGTGCATACCATGTTGAAATCTCCAAGAGGTTTATTTGGTAAGGTTAGAAAATACCCATTTCCCTCACACTTCATGGCCTAAATCAACTCCTGACTGACTTGAGAGGAGGATGGTCAAAGGAAATGGTGTGGGCAGGTAAGTTATTTCACAGTATATTCTGTGATGATAGATTATGGGGCATACAGGAATTAGATCCTGGGTGCTCAGCTTTCTGCATTTAGGTAGAGCTGATACAGCAGTAACATCAAAAGACCCAGACCAGACAGCAACTTCTAACAGCCTAAGAAAAGGAATTACCTCTTCGTGCCATATTTGCTTTATTCTGCCAGTTTGGCCACTCCTTGTTGTGATATACAAACACAGCCTTCCAAACATGACAATTTTAGCTTTAGTATTTTAATTTCTCTTCTAATTAGTTTGAATTTATTTTCTGAACCTCTCCAGTCTTGACAAGTAAAACAAAAAAAATAAAATTAAAAAGCAATTAATTGGAACATTATATGTAATGAATGGGATGGAAAAGCAGCAGGATCTGAAGAGAAATGCTGTTCTGCCCACTGAGTGCCAGTAATTTGTTTTATAGCACAGATCCCTAGAAGTATAAAGAAAGGGAAGCAGTGGCTTCTGCAGGTTGGCTACAAGTGTTTGATCTCTGTGCAATTGCATAGGGGTTGATAAGGGGTGATCTGCTCTCTCAAGTCTTTTTTTTTTTTTAATTAAAAAAAAAAAGTACAGGCCAGCCATTGAAAGGATTTAAATTGACTACATCACAGAAGCAGCAGGTAGGAGGATCTGCCCACAGTGAGTACAGTATTAAGCTCTTTTTCATTATCTGTTCCTTTCTTAAGCCCTTATACTCTTCCTTAGCCATAAGTTGTGAGTTTCTTTCTGAGAGAAATGTGACTTACAGGGCTTTTTTTTTTCCTTAGAGTTTCCTTGGCAGAAAGCTTAATGGAATTGTCTGCCATCAACACCTGCTTTCAAGCTTTCCTGATAAAATTAGATTTTATATCTCAGCATCACATATGGCATCTTTATAATTAGTCTTTTTGCAGTATATGAATGTCAGTTCCTAAAATGCTGCCTGTACTGTTCATGTCGCTTCATTAAACAAATCCAAGCTTTTCATTGGAGCTTCTAATTATTGAAACCCCACGATTTTGTGTGTCTAATCTCAGAACCATTTTGATGGGCTGAAATACAGCATATCTTCAGCTTCACTGGAACCGAGCTGTGTGCAAGTCGCTTCTGGAAATGGGAACCTGAGATGTCTTCATGGGCCTCTGTACCTGGAGTCACTTGTGGAGATGGAGTGTTTGACTATGTAGCTATCTGAAAACAAGGGGTGGGCTTCTTCAGAGGGCTCAGGTTTGGTCTAATCTTGGAAACAGAGGTAGGTCTATGCTTAGGAGCTTCTGAAATATATTACCATACATAACATTTCAGAACAAGAACACCCAGTTTTTAACACACATGCTCAAGAGCAAGCAAATTTCCATTGAAATGTGAAGCTCAGAGGTGTTTTCAGACACGTGATGATCAGAATTACCAGTTAGAAAGACGGGGAAGAGTGTTCCCGTGTCAGTGATTTGCAGGTGATTGTTTTAAACTGCTGTAAAATGCATGGGAAGTCCTATGCTAGTACAGGTACCAGTGGAGGTGATAGGTGATTTTTTTCATTATTCATGTCACTGACTCACGTCAGCTGAGAATTTTTATTCCACCTGGGTGTGTTCATTTCTCTGCTCAGATGAGGAAATGCACAAAGTAACAGATCATCACTTTACCGCTAGCACTAACGTCATGGGAGTGGTAACGTTTGTATGGAAAAGTCAGCATTTAGTGCCTATGCAACAAGGATGAAAATGTGCAAACTGTCAACTTGTGATAGAAATGTCTTCAGTTTCTCAAGTGCAAAGTTAGTGCAGTGTCAGCAACACTATCCTCTAGGAAAAAAAGAAGACAAATAGGAAAACATTTAAAAACATAGCTCTTGATAGCTCTCATGCAAACGGCTGTCAAACCTGTACACTAATGCAATGAATCATTCAGGCTCAGCTCACTGGGGGTACTCCTGCTCATATTGGTAAGACTGGCCATAAGGGATTTCACTTTATAAGCATAGTAGTCCCTTAAGTTGACTGACGGAACTTCTTTCATGCCGTCACCAAAATCACAGCTTCTCATGGCACTCTCTAACTGCTTCTGACGCCTATAAAAGTGGGAGAATTTATTGAAGATCAGTGTAATGGGAAGCACTACCACGAGGATGCCAGCTAGGATGCATGCAGATGCTGTCAACTTGCCAGCAGTGGTCCCTGGCACAACATCCCCGTAGCCAACTGTGGTCATGCTAACGGTAGCCCACCACCAACAAGCAGGGATGGTGGCTAACCCCTCGTTCTCTTCTTTCTCAATGGTGTAAGCCACTACCGAGAAAATGGAGATGCCAACAGAGAGGTACAGTAAAAGAAGCCCCACCTCTCTGTAGCTATACTTCAGGGTGGCTCCAAGAGACCTGAGACCTGTGGAGTGTCTAGCAAGCTTCAAGATGCGAAAGATCCTCATGAGTCTCAGGACTTGTGCAACCCTGCCTAAATTTGCTAAAGTTGGACTACTTTCCACCACCAAGTTGACAATTAAGGTAATATAAAATGGGAGGATAGACATTAGGTCAATCAAATTCAGGGCATGCTTGAAAAATTTTAAAAAGTCAGGAGCTACTGCAAACCTCGCCACCAGTTCAAACGTGAACCATGCAATACCAAAGTGTTCCACGATTTCAAAGCGAGGGTCCTCCTCAGGGTTCCCGTTGCTATCAACGATCTGAAAGTCTGGGAGGCTGTTCAGGCACATGGTCACAATGGAGCCCAGCACCACCACTATTGAAAGGACACTGAAGATTCGGCTCAGGACCGAGTACCCAGGATTATCCAAAGCGAGCCAGAGCTGCCTCCTGATGTTTCCAAAGGGTTGCTTGTCAAATTTAGAGGCATCATTGTAGAATGCCAAAATCTCATCAAAAGAAGACGTGGTGCTTTCCTGGTCACTTTGTTCCTCCCATTTCTCTTGGTCTGGTTCCATTTTCCTCCCGTGGTAGCTGTAACTGCAGCAGGAGTCTATAAAGAATTCATTGATTCCCCAGTATTCAATCTCCTGGCTGAAAGAAAACACGCAGAGTTCGCCCATCACATGGAGCTTGCCGGTGTTATAGAAATGTAGCACATAAGGGAAGAGCTCAGGGTTCCTGTCAAAATAAAATTCATTCTTGGTGTCATCGTAGTCGTCACAGAGCTCCAGTATGGACTCCTTTGAGTGGCAGCTCAGCAGTTTGCCCAGCCTGGTCTCAGGGAACCGTAATAATGTGTTGGATCGCATCTTTTTCTTAAAGCCTCCAACATTGATGCTGATCTCATTGTCTTCAAAATTTGCTTCAGACAAAGCCCTCAGACTCTGCCCTGTCATAGTGAGCTCCTTCCAAAGGTGTATAAGGGAGTGAAAACCTAGGATGCAATTGCACAGAAAATCGGCAAAATGAGCAAATCTACAGCATGTTCACCTGTCGACGCTCTTTCCTTCCTTCCTTCCTTTTTTAATTTATTCCTTTTTTTCTTTTTCCTTTTTTTTCAGTCTTTCATATCTTTCTTTCTTTCTTATCTTTCCTTCTTTCTTTCATTCATTCTTTCTCTTTCTTTCTGTCATTCTTTCTCTCTTTCTTTCTCTGTTTCTTTCTTTCTTTCTCTTTTTTCTCTATTTCTCTCCTTTTCTCTTTCTCTCTTTCTGTTTCTCTTTCTTTCTTTCTCTCTTTCTCTTTCTCTCTTTCCTTCTCTCCTTTCTTCCCCCTTTTTCTCCCATTTCCCCTCTTTCCCCCCTTTTTTCTTTCTCCCACTGAAGACACCGACGACGGCTCCTTTGTTCCCGCCGCA